CAGTCATTACACATTAGGGGGCCGAGTCTTTTACATTTTCTGACCACCGTCCGTGATCATTCTTCCGCGGGATCGATACGCAGCAGTTCATCTGCATCCTAGGAGGGATAGAAGAGGAGGTAGTGATACATATAGGAGTAGTCATGGGTTCGATACTTCACAAACCTAAAACAACTTTAACTTACCGCTCTATTTCGAAAAGTAATTCTTGTCCGTGCAAAATTGGGATATTAAAAGAAGTTTTTCGTGCGAATTTTTAATGCAGCTAAAGTGTAAACAACATATTTTTGAATTTTGTTCATTTTCATCAATACAAAAACTCATTAAGACCGTTACAGTAACATAAAACCTATTTATAATATCGATTGTAGCCAATAAAATCCTTGGATGAAACTACATCAGTCTATTTGAATCGCATAACTCCAGTCTCTGAACTCTATAGACTAAGAGAGATTTGAAAGTTCATACATTTAATTATTAATAAGTAGGGATCGTACTATATAGTATAAATTATAGTTACTAAATCTCTATCACTTTTTATATTATCTATGATTTTTAAGATTCTACTTTGGCTTGCACTGTTATTAAGAAAATGAAAGTAATAAAATCTCTTGAGAGAGGAGGGGAGAGTTCATGCGCCATCAACGTAGGAGGGGTGTGAGCACTCCTGTAGGTAATTATTCAAAATGAATTAAATTATAACCCTTTTAAAATTTATTTTAATGAAATTTACAACTATATTACATGAAAAATACAATAAGTAAATGTGACATTGGTAACATGACATGTACAACATGAAAAGAAACTGACTCATTGGTAGAACCCAAATTAAAGTTCCATATTAGAAAGTCCCGAGGTTTCTTCTTTTCAGATGCCTCGGAGGGTTATCAGGAATAGAAGAGGAAGCAAGATTGGAAACAAGAGGGTTTGGATGGTCTAGAAGTTTATTATGGGAGGATAGGTATCTGGATTTGGCCAAATCGGAAACATATGGTACATTAAGGTCGTTATGGATGATTTTATTTGTGATAAAGTAAGGTGCATTGAGGATTTTACGGAGGATTTCGGATTATTAAATTAAAGTAATTTTGAGGAAGGTATTTTAAATATTGGACATTTAAAGACCTACCTAATATTAAAGACCATTTAGTTGTACGCAGAGGTTGTACGTTAATCAAAATCATTAGAGCCGTTTTCGACATAAAGATGCACATTCCGTAAGCCGTTTTAGATGAAAAAGTAGCTTTAACATCATAGGCATATACTTATCTTAAATATGTAATTTCAGCAAAGGTGTCCATCCTCCCTCCAAGGTTAATGGCGCAAGAATCTATACCCTTACCCCCAAGGTATTTTATTGCTCACCTTTTCTTAAACATAGAGCAAGCGAAGGTAGAATTACGAAAATCGTATATCATATCCTATTACACTTGCGGCGGTTATTCCATGTTTTCTCCATGTTTTTGTCCCTTAGTATGAAACTTTCGTTCCGAAAATTCATGACCACGGCGAAATGTGCCCTCCCTCTCAAAAATTTGATGAACATCGAACACCTGCTCTTCAGGGCACCCCTGAATTTCAGTTTCGTACAACCTTTTGTTTTTGAGCTAGCCTGTTCAAATATAAATACACATACAGACCGTTTTGTTGGACTTGGTTATTTGGAATCAGGAGACCTCAAAACATTTCCGTTAAAAACTCAGATTCGAAAATTTTTTCAACCGCAATATTTTCCGTTACCATATAGGGTAAAGGCACATATTATTCGTTGGATTGTTATGAATTATTTTTTATATGTTAAGTTTTAAGTTTTTTATATGTTATGTTTTATATGAAAATATGTTTAAGAAATAAATAACCAGCAATTAAAAAAATATAATATAAAAGCCCATTAATAAAGCAAATATTTAATGAAATAAAATTCAAATATTTCATTTTATAAAACAGCTTAAGAAATAAATTAAATTTTTTTAGAGGGGAGGGAGATGACGTCATTACCCGGTGGCGCCGAATATCTAAGACCGGTACTGCTGAAACATTTCAAAGACTATAATGAGAGTTTTTAAGGTGAATTTTCAGTAAACCAAGTATCAATAAAGGAACAAGTGTATTGATTTGTGTTTATTTTAAATGCATAGTACATAATGCTTAAAACAAATCGATCAAGGCAGCAAAACAAATTATGGTCTTGAAACCGTTTAAAAGAAATATACACAACTATTTTCTGAAACTAGGTCAGTCAGAGACAAAGACAAACCAAATCTGGAACAAAGCGAAGTTGAAGACCGATTCAAAACTCAACTTCAACATACATTATTCTTCCCAATCACCTTTCTTTTTTTCATAAATATAAAGATCTTTTTATTTTAGCTTGCATTACAGCAAATATAAAATGAATGTGATAAATTGTAAACAAATATTAATTTATTCAGTTTCAAAATATATCTTTGTAAAAATATTATCCGTATATCCGCAAAATATATAAATAGGAAAATTGTGGCTATTATGAAATATGAACCAATAGTATTTTCGTGTAATTCACAATATTATCCTATTTTGAAATGTTTAAATTTATGATTAGACAGAATTTCACAATAATAAATTCGAACTATTAGATAATACTGACAATATAGGTAGTCGTATGTTAAATTTAACTTATTAAAATCAGTACAAATAAGTTTTATGTTTAATCTTATAGCAATTGTTTATAAAGGAAATACAAAATGTGTTCAAAACATTCAAATCGAATATTTAAAATTAATTTATTCCTTATAGAATAGACCAAAATTTAAAATATGTATAACTATCTTGGAATCATAGTTTACAGTGGGCCGCTAACATCCTAATTATTAAAAAAAGTCAGTTTTTTTCTCAGCGAAAGATATACACAACAAACTATATAGTTTTTCGACTGTAATAATAGTATTCTTACCTGATTTAAAAAAACAAATCTTCACCACTTTGAACTATGCACAAACACAAAAGTAAGCTAACCGTTTTATCGTAGAAAAACTAGACATTTGAGCGGAATCCGGGTAGTAGTACCAACATCAATTTTATAGAAAAAAAATGTGAAGTATTACAAAATGAACTTTAAATTATTTTCCAATATCATTAATTTGATTTGGTTAAAAGTTAAAATAAATAATAAATATACATAATTTGAGCATACGAAAATTTCAAACAAACAGATACACCAAGAAAAAAAAATCACTATAATTTTAATTGAAGATCTTATGAAAAGTAATTTATTACATGGACATAAAATAGATAGATTTTTCAATTTCACTTTCAGTATAATGCAAAAGTGAAATTTAATATTACATTTAATATTTAATATATGCATCAGGTTATGATCAACGATTAGCTCTATCTTTCGCGGGTGGATTCAGTCTTGGAGGGAATTGCAAATTGCATAGTTTTTAAAAAGGATTTAATGTTCAATTTTATTTCTGGTATTAAGCGTATTCAGTTAATTGTTTCAATTAAACAAGGTCTCAAATATAAAGCGTCGGTTTTTCTTTGTAAGTATCTAAATTAGGATAATGCTTTTTCTATTGATTTGTTAATGAAATGTATATTTTAAAGTTATTAACCTGCTGTCATTACATTTATATATTGTCTATTTTAACTGTAAATTAGCAGATACAATATGCCTGGGTATCAACTTTTAAAATAATGACATCTTATTTTTATTCAGTATTCCAAGCAGAGTAAGTTTATAACATTTCTTATATTTATAAGTAAACTTCCATTATTTTTTAAAATCATGATTCAGTAAACCTTTTTTTTCTGTTCATCTATGGTCATTTCTGATTCAGCCATTATATTTTTAAGGATTATAATGAAATAGCTTTGACGGTACCATTATTTCAGTTAAAAATAATAATAATGAATTTAAAAAATAATCAGAACCAATAATTCAAAGTAGTGTTAATTGAGTAAATAAGGAGTATAGATCATAATTTAGGTCTGTTTTGATTGTTTTTAATTTTTATTTCCTTTTATTTATAAATGTACAATTCAAATAACATAAGTAATTCAAGCATTCTTTTAATAGTTTTAGCCATGAAATAATTTATTATAAAATCATCCGTCAATTCAAACATTTACAAGATGCAGTATGGTGTCAGTGGTGTCCAGCCTTGTATACCTAATCTAGTACAATCAAAATCGTGAGACAACTGAGGCCTAAAATAAATCTCTTTGTCATTATCTTCATTAGTAAATAATAAAATAGAATACATCTCAGAATATAGTGAATAATTAATGTAATTTTTCTTTCGTACCAGAACATGCCAACAACAAACTTTTTAATTGAAAAGTTTGTCACTGGTCTAAAAACTATCGGTCATTAGTAGTTTTTGAAACTGGTTCAAAATATATACAACTTATATGAATTCAGAGGTTTCATAATAGTTTCGATTAGTATTCTTTATACATTAAAATAAAAATATTTCAAACATATTTAATGTCTTTATTGAAAAATTTAAATCCAACTGTTTTTATCGAAACAAAGTCAAATATGTATACATATATGTATATATAGATGATTATGTTTCTATAAAAATAGTTTTGTAAACCTAGTTTTCATGCCATGAACAATAAACTAGATATAACATTTCTGGTAGTTGAATGTAAAACTGATGGCATACTGTTGTCATTTTGAAAGCTTTATAAACTCTCACCACAAAAGACCAATGATGAAAAATACATTTATGAAAAAAAGAGCAGGAAATCTCTACAGAATCTTGATAGCAGGAAAAATAATAGTTCAAATAGGTCTGTTGCAATTACATTAAGACTAATGTGTAAAACCATTATTAATTTTGTGACGTAGGAGAAGGAATGCCTAAAAATATATTTAGCTCCAGTTTTAATATACATTTATTGTAGCACAATATAATTTCATTCAATATTGCAAACAGTTAGTTAACTTTTGCCATTTCTAATTACATTACATTACAATCTTTTAAATAATGTATATAGTTAAACAGGATAATTGTTATATATTTGTAAATATATTCTAGTTTCATTAAGTTTACATTTTAATTATTATTGGAATAATTATCTTACAATCACTGTGATGGTAACTTGTTACAAAATTTGATTAAAGAAAGTAGTTCAATATTAAATAATTATTACTTTTTATTGAATTTTTAATGATTCTTTATATGTAATTTGGTTAGGACTAGCTAATATAAATCATTGACCTTCTCTTCCTTGATATCATCGCATTGTCTTTTTTCTTTTGGTAGCGGTGTTGTGATGGAAGGCCTGTGGAGAGCAGTCCAGTCACCAGGAAACCTAATAGAAAAGAACAGTTTATTTTTTTAAATAACAACTTAACTTCTTATGATACAGTTACTTCACTGTCTATATACTGATAATATTTCTTGTTTCATTGATTACTGAAACCTCGTATATTTTTTATCATTTCTTTTTTTTTGTATTAACTTTAAAAATATGTTAGGATTGGGTGTGAAACTGTCTCATAGAATAATATTTTTTAGTTTAAATTGCAGAGAGGAACATGTTTTGGCGATTCATTAGAAAAAAATCTCTTTTTTCATATCCCGTTAGCAATGGCTGTCACCTTTTTTTCCCTTTACTTCCAAGTTGGTTATTTGTGGCATTCGGAGAGGTTATTCTATAGGTATAACTAGATCTATTATAACCGGAGTGGGATGGTTAGGTTTCATTCTGTGATTAAGCCAGAGTTTAAAATGCCATGGTTAAACTCAAGATTAATCAAGTAGACAACATTGTTCAGCCACCACGCCTCTTGAATGTCACATATCATCAAAAACATGGTGGCATCATGATGCCCTTAGCTTTTAGAGTAATGATTGGTTCCTTCTATGCCTCCATGTCACCCATGGCCAACCCCACTTTTTATTCATTAGCTAGCTATTGTCTGCTAAACTACACATTACTGGCTTGGACTACACTGGATAAGTGGCTTGGTTTAGTAAATAAGACTCCTGTTGCCGCTGTAGAGGCATGGATGAAGAGGTTGACAAAAAACAGCACCACAGGATCTTCAGTGATGCAATGTTCAGAGTACAAATAAGCCTCTGGCTTAATTATTCCATAAGATATACTATCCTACTTGTCAATTGACAAATAAAGACATTGACATTTGTTGCCCCTTAGAGTATTTTACTAGTTAAGAAATATATTTATGCATTAATTGGGCGAGAATACTTTTCTTACAGCTTCAGAAATATTCATTTGAGCATACCCCAAAAGCTCTCCCGGCCATTTATGTTCCAGGCTTTTCATTATTGATTGGGATAGATTAAACATGATTATGATTGTATATTATGAAATTTAATTAAGTTCTAAGATATTATTGGAAATTTTCACTAGTGGATTTGGATAAAATCCACTTCTAGGGGTGTTCAGATCAAAAGAAAGACAAATTGAAACAAGACAAAACGGTGTATATAAAACTAACTACATTTTAACCTTTAATTTCTAAAATGAAGATGGGTTTTCAGCTTGGAAAGAAGCCCGGTGTGCCATGGTCCTTGTACCTGATTCCCCACTCCTGCTTCTCCGATCGCAGCCAGTGCTCCCCAAGATAGCGTCTTGGGCCCCGTCCTTTATATCCTTTTTACTCCTGATATTCTTGTCCATCCTGATACCTTCCTGGCAACATTTGCTGGTGACACCACCATCCTATCATCCAAATCAGATCCCGAAATAGCATCCTTAAGTTTGCAAAAACACCTCTCCCTGATTGAGCACTGATGTGCAAAATAAATGGCGCATCAAAGTAAACGAATCCCGCAGATCCTGTTCATCAGCCCACTTTAATTCCATCCAGCTTTCTTTTTCACACACAGTCCAATATCTTGGCTTCCTCTTAGACTGAAAACTAATGTGGAACCCATGTACTAGACTTAAAATACGATGATACGGCCAATTATATAGACTACTGACTAGAAAATCTCAACTTCCAATTGGCAACAAATTACTGATCTACAAGACAATCCTGAAACCTGTTTGGACCATTTTTTTTTTTAATTTACTTATTTTTAGGTTATTTTATTTTTATTGTACATAGTCTTTAATTATTTTTACTTTTGTTAATTTTATGTTTTCTGTATATATGGTGTGGATGTGTTCATATCTCACTATAATAATAATTATAGTCCACGTGACAGATTATTATGTTTCTAAATAAATAAATTTAAAAAAACTTCTAAAATGCAGCTCACATCTATAAAATTTGAATCATAGCACAACGCAATCAATCATCCTGCTAACCGAAAATTATTATTTAACTATATAACTTTATCTCAGAAACTAGAGCTAATTTAATTTTGACATGGTGATTTTTATGTTTAGTAGTATGAAATACATATGGTCAGCTATTATTGTGCCAAAAGCATTTTCTTTGTTGTTTTTTTTATTAATCTGAGCATTGTTCACTGAAGACCACAACTTATTATTAAACTTGGAATTTCCACTCACCTTGACCCAGATGACATATTACACTGCATGTACATTGGTGCTTCTTCATACAGCTTATTAAGAACTTCTACCCTCAATGGATTCCATTCTATTGCCTTGTATGATTGCGATATTGGTAGTTGGGAACCTGTTGCTTGGTCTTCAAATCTGTCATAAACCATATGTTATAATTATTGACATAGACAATAATAAATTATTTATACCTTCAGATAAAAAAAGGAAAATATGAAAGTTGAAAATTCAATTAGTTTGATTAGATTTCTAGATAAAATATTCAACCAGAATACAAATCTTAATACAGTTCTTATCATTGTGGAAACAACATTTAAGACTCATAGCATGATTCAACCAACTTTCAGATTTTTTATAGAACAGATATGCGCTCTTACCCAAAGATAACTCTTAACAATAATACTCTAGACAATAGTTGGAGACCTTTTTATCAATAGATGCCACAGTAAGGTTAAGCAGTACCGCAATAATTCTTTATATTTTACTGTTGCTATTTTTATTTATCACTAAATGCACACACCTACATACATACATTCAACAATTTCCAAATTGTGTTACTTAAATAATTGAGTAATAATTAATTCTAAAACTAGGTTAATAAATATAGCAAAAAAAAACGTTTTGAGGCCTTGGTTCTCCATCTATGGTTTAGACTTACAAAACAACTTGACAGGTAATGTAGTTATACACAAAGCTTATAGATTCTGGAGCAAAAAATTAAATTTTTATATTCTATATTGAACTGAGCATTCTGTAATTCTCTTCACAACATATCCAGCTATCACATCCTCAATTAATATATAAGAATAAAAATCATTATCACAATTTTAATGCAATATCACAAAATAACAAGTTGTTTAACCATAAAATTTCTTGTTTATTTAAAAGTATTTTTCTTTTATTGATTTTAATTTATAGTAATAAATTTAAGGATTGTTAAAATACTTGTGAAGGGTGTCAAAGTAATCAGCAAGAGGTTGGTCCGAAATGCTGCTTTTGCAGACCTCAAGTTCTGTGCTAGGAAAATAATAGATGTAATTAACGCACATCTCGTCAGATATTGCATATCCTCCCAATGTAATATTTTCTCGAGAAGCAGTATCATACAAGCACTTTGTTTCCAACCAGTCTCCCTGTGACAAAAAATTTAGAACTACAATAATAAGGTGTATTACAAGTACAGCATTACCAATAACTGACTGATTTGTTTTAATTTATTTTTTTGGAAGAAGGATTAAAGCCCATTCTCTTTGCAACAAGTAATTCACTGAAATGTTTGTTGTAGATGAACATAGTTACATAGTTACAATAAAGATGATAATTAGTGAGAAAGATGAATAAAATATATTTATGGCTAGGTTTCAGCTCATCTTGCAGATATTCTTCAGAGCCAATCCTATGGTACAGACCAAGCTTTTTTTATCTTTTTTCCTTTCCTATCTTTTTACATCATAAAATTTTCTGTTAACGACATAGCGGTACCAAAAAATCTTATTTATTTGTATGACTTCCTTTTATTCTTCTATCAAGTGCAGCCTTGATAGGCAAAGTACTACTGGAGTAGTACTGCTTCAACAGTAACAGATGTACATAGAGTCTGAAAACTTGTATTGCTTGGTCTATACAAATGAATAGTCCTCACATCAATGCCAGTTAGATGGCCTGAAACATTAGCATATATTATACAACTTCACGTTTCTCATATTTTCACCATCGTCTATAATTTAAACATACATACCGGAAGCACATTAACTGGCTGAGGTAGGAGTCTGATTTCTTGAAAATGAGTAGAGTAGTGTTTGTCTTGATTAAGAAGAGGAAGTTCAAGTCCATTTCTGTAATGATGTGTCTCAACCCTGATTCCAGTCAAATGAGTATGCAATTGTGATGCAAAAACTTTTATGCCTCCTTCTGGCAGAGACTGTAACCAGCATTAAGTGATTATTGAGTTAAAACTAATTAAATAACTAAAGTAAGAAAAAATCATTTTTATGTTAACTATCTACATTAAATTAGTTGAACTGATTCATTTAATAATATAAACAACTATTAATTTTATTATTATATAAATAATTATTCATTTAATATTAATATTTTGTACCCAACCGATTGATTCAAAATAGAAAAAATATTGTAAAAAGCTTACAACTCCTGTACACTGTGGGAGACATGATGCGCTTAGTTGAAAACTAGGCTGTTTTGGTGGTATGGCCATTTTGTCAGTGTATTCAAGACCGAGTTCAATCACAGCTGCGTCGTTTGCTCTCAGCTTTTTAGTCAGGTACACTCTGAGGCCAGAGTCATCAACCCAATCTAAAATAAAAATAAAATATGCATATATAAATAAATGTAAATCAATTATCTACTTAATAAAATTATCTACCTTGTTTTTTATTGATCTTTAATAATAAAATCTTTCTAGTCCTTTTCAATTATAGCAAATTAATACACTAATAGCGTTAAATATTCCAGGAAACTCCCGCAAGGGATACTCTTATGACACAATGTACATAGAAGTACCAGAATATTTACTGATTTATTGAAATATTCTGATTATAAATAAAAGTTTCAATTTGGGTGCTTGATGAGCACGTCTAAATGAATCCTAAACTTCTAGGATAAGCATACAATATGACTGTCTTTAGAAACAATCAAGAGGATATTAAGAGACTTACTAAGTTCATGATGAAAGTAAATAAAGAAAAAAAAAAAAGTATATGATGGTAAGCGAAAAAATTCATCCCAACATGTTTGGCAAAGATAGAAAATTTTTCCCGTTAATAAAAAGATTCAAATATCTCAATTTCATGCTGATAAATGCCCAACTATCTGAGATAGAACAACATATAAAAAGTATAAATAAAACTTTCTTTTCTCTTTCAAGTTAACTGAAATCCCAAACAAATCTCTATAAATCTTAAATTAAGGGTGTACGACTTTATAATGAAGCCAATTCTGATATATTTGGACTTTAACCAATGAAATATAAAGAAAGATTTGTGAGGAAAGTTCTCAGAATAACAGATGGATAGATAAAACAAAGATGCTTCAGAACAATGATAGACAGAGGTTGAGAAGATTGGTTCGGGCAGCCAAAGATGTCTGTAAAATTGACAGAAAAAAAAAAAAGTGGGAACTAATTATAACTAGAGATGGGCAACAGTCAATAGTCTTTCTCTATCGATAGTCAGTAGTATCAGTAAAAAAACTACTGATGATATCAATAGTTTAGTAAATTCAAACCACAGACATCATAAGGATTTATTTTCTCTGAATTCATTAATTATATACTTTAAAATACTCCATAACAATAATGACATATTATTTGGATTTAATTTAATTTATTATATATTATTATATTTGTTATACATTTAATTTGGATACATTCTTTAATATGTACATTGATGTGGTCAATAAAAAAAATTAGATAAACAATTGTAAAATTTTATTGAAAAATAAATTTTGTTCATTTCCATAAATGTCAAATTCAAATAAGAAACTACGTTGATGTATGTTACGGTTTAAACTATTTGGGAATAGATGATGATATATTTGGAATTTGTATGTCTTTAAGAGAGAAGCATAAAAAAATATAAATATATTACTCTCTGTTTTATCGTAATTACTAAGGCCAATAAAGACGAAAATCCTACTGTTTTAACGAGAAGCTACTGTCGAAGAAATGTAATAATTCAATTAGTGGCATTATTAAACTTTTTTTTTCGTAAAGAGAAATTCTTTTGAGTTTCTATTTCCAGGTAATGAGTTTCAAAATATGAAGTAGGTAACTATTTCATTTTATAACAGCTCTTAGGACAAAACTATGGATCATATAATATAAAATCATTTAAAAAAATAAAATATTAGTGACCATCTTATTCTAATTGTAAGTTTATATTTATTGCTTTATTCTTTCAAAATTAAATGTATTTAACAAACTAATACAATTATTAATTACCAATTGCTTTTGGATTTCGAGCGTTAATTTACATGAATAGTTTTGTTTTGTTTTTATTCCTAATTCAAATCAGTAAAATTTAAAACTAAAAAAATATTTCTTTGTACCTGCTCTCATTTCTGGATTGTTGTAATGCACCTCAAGCATAGCATAGGAACCATAATTTGAGCCACCAATCGGTAATCCTGCTTCCTAAAAATTGTTTCATGTTACGAATAACAAAAATTAAATTCAATGTAAAACTATTACACTGAGATTTTAAGCAAATCTTTTATTTATAATTTTTTTTTTTTTATAGGTTGCTGTGAAGTAATATGTATCCTGGAGTAATGCTGAACATATATGTAAGTTTGATTTTAAATCATTTGTATACTTTTAGTAGTTATGTTTCATTATGAAGAATTTATTGTTTATTGTTGTGAATTTTGACATAAATTAATAGTTTATAAACATTTATGTTCTGTATAATTAATCCATTCACTTTACTAAATTCTGAAAATGAAATAATTGATCATATTAATATATTTTATTCACTACTGAAGATTTTTAACAAAAATGATTAAATTTATGTTAATTGAATATCTGAACCATGATTAGTGTTATTTTTAAAATAAAGCTAATATATATAAAAATTACCAATGGATAAATGAATGGAGTTGCTCCCATAGCCCATGCTGCCATCACTTTTTTACAAACCTCCACTGATTTTGGTTTCTTTTCGCAATTTCCTCTAATCAACAGAAGACAATACACAATTACTTTTTTTTATATGTTAAACATGTTTGTTTGAATAAACCATTAACTGATAGTGACTTAATCCTTAAATCTGCATTTGTTGAATTAACTAGTTTTATTGAGCAAATACATTTTTTTTTTTTTTTTTGAGATTCTGATTTGGAATAGATTCGAAAATGTGGATATTATAGTCCTATAAATTTTTTGCTGCAATTATAGATTTTGGGAAATGTATTTCGCTTGACGAGTTCTCGTGAAGGGGTAATGTGAACCCTAGTTTCCATGACCAGTTCTAGTAAATGGATATACAAGGTTGAAGTAGAGGTTAATCAGAGATTTTTTTACACATGTATGATAGAAAAACTTTAATCTTCTCCTCACTATCGGTTACTCCACCACATGGTATGCGACTTTCAAAGGAAGATAATGACACGTTTACCTTTCAAATTGACGCCCAAATGGTGCCAAAATAACAGGTTATATCTTGAACTGTAAACCAACTCTTGTTTTATCTCAAACCATCAAAAAGTGATATCAGAATTAAAGTTCAAAGTCATGGGAAATAGAGTGCAAATGACTAGAAAAGGGATAAATAAAAGTTTTATCATTAAAAGAAAAATTAGGTAACAGTAAGGTGTTATTCGAAAGGGTTTTAAAAGTTATTTATGTACTTTTTTAATCTGGGTCATGTTAAATAAAGTCTACCAATGGTTTATAAAACTATGTAAGGTTAACTATATTTTGAGATAATTAGGAAGTTGAAGAAGGAGTTTATTTTCATCTTGTTCTCGGTCACAATTTTTAGAGTAATTCTAAGCCTAATTAACTAGTCCATCAATTGGTAATGGCATTGGTGAATCTATACACTGTAGGATTATGATAATTAGAAGGGTGGGATTTTACAATAATCAAGTGTAAAGTTATTGCTTCATTTTTTGTTGAAGGGGGTTTATTGTGGATAGAGGTAATAGAGAAAATATGTTCATATCTCTGAGTAATAATGATTCAGATGATATTTATGTAATAAGAACTTCAAATTTTGTGTTTCCTTGACCTTGAATGAATTATAATTTTATTACTGAACTCTATCATTGATTAGTTCATGAATACAATTATTTGAAATGAACTTTTGTTAAAAACTAAAAAAGTTTTATATAAAGCAATGATTTGCAAATAAAAATTAAAAAAAAAAATTCCTATGAAACAAACTTTTGAAGACATGAGTGGATGAATGAGTTTTGTTACAAATTTAAAAGTTTTGATAAAATTACATACAATATTATTTTTTAAGCATTAAAGATCCAATTAATAGAGAAATCAAGAGATTAACCAAGAATATTGGGTTGTTAATGTCATAAGGTGAAGTATGTAACACCATCCTTTGTAAGAAAAAAATAATTTAAAACAAATTGTTACATACCACCTTCATTCCATCCTGTCTTCAATTAAATCAAGAAATTTCGTGTGATTAATACCAAATTTTTATGGTCATTAAACTTGATTTTTCTCTTTTTCTTCTAAATCGTTTCCTCTCTAACGCTGAGCAGTGTAAGGAGCCTTCTTTTAGAGCCTAATTCACGATTCTTTATCCTGAACCAACTGCTGTCTCCTCTTCCAGTCAATATCTCATCTGTCAAAGGCCTGCTTAACATTGACCTCCTAAATCTTCCTGTATCTTCCCTGAGGCCTTCTTACTTCAACTTTATTTTCTGACACAGTTCTAGCCCCTCGGTTCTCTGGTATTTGAGAGAAATGTCCAAACAACCTCAAATGATTTTCCCCTATCAGACTCTCCGCTAATCTTACGTTTAGGTTTTTTCTTATTTTGGAGTGTCTTATGCAGTCTCTCTTGATTTTCCTTCGACTATGCACAGGTATCTCATCTCCATGGTCTGAATCTGACTGATGTTTTGTAGGTAGGATCCATGACTCGCTGGAGTAGGTCATTATAGAGAGGAAAGTATTTTTGTATACAGTCGTTTTGGTCACCTTGCTCACTTTTTGCTTATTCAAGAATCTCTTCTTGATGGCATGGCATTGAAGCACCTTCCTGCAAACTTCATTCTTTGCTTTATTTCTCAGTTAATCCATCCCTGTCCATTGATGTGGGCACCGAGGTATTAAAAATTCTTCACTTTTTCCAAAAGTGAACTATTCTGTCACCTCTTCCTCCTTTCCTGACAATCTCCATCATCATAGTTTTGGTTTTTTTACACATTTATTTGCACAATAATCTTATTTAATTCTTTTTGAAGGATGCGGAGGTTGAATTGAAGGTTTCATCCATTGCTACCGAAAACCACCAAATCTTTTGCATAAGTGAGCAAAAAGAAAAGGACAAGCTGTTGTTTTCAAATTTTGTTTTGATATTTTTATTACATTGTCTAGCACTAGTGTAAATAGCAGAGAACTTATACTGCACCTTTGCCTATTACCTTGTTTAGTTTTGAACTCTTTTGATAAATTATTACATGTTCTCACCTCATTGCTTTGAGTCTTATAGTGACTTAGAATTGCCTTACGAAGGCTCGTTTCGATTCCTTTGTTTTCTAAGGCTTTTGCTATGACTTTCTTCTTCACTCGGTTAAATGCATTAATCAGATCCACAAGACAAGCTTATATTTCTTTGTCCCTTTCCACTAATTTCTCAGAAATTTTTCTTAATTCCAATATGAGATGCTTGGTACTTATGGTTGGCCTGAACAATGTTCTTCACTTAGGAAGAACTGTTATCTAGTCTCTGTAGATAACACACTGTTCTATGTAGTCTCTCCAAAATCTTTGAATATACTTAATTTTTATCAATAAAATCATTCTAGTTCGTAGTTGAAAAATTTTCTGATAATATTCGGCAGTTTAAATTATTATCATTAATCAATAATGTTTTAGACCATGAACTGTTTCTCATAAAGAAAAAAGATATTTTTATATATGATATATTCATGACTGATAAACTATGTCATCTCTCAGTTTATTTTTATGATTTGAAATTTAAATAGCATTTCCCTATAACATAATATTTTTATTTTTATTGTTGCAATTTAAAGTGATTTTTGTGTGAAAAAGAAATGCTTTTTCACTAAAGCTACTAAGGCTACCTTATGATTATACTGTTGTCATTATAATCTTTAAAAGGGAGGAAAAATATAATTAAACATGGGACAATTACAATTTTAGTAATTTTATCCAGAAATACAAAGACTGGTGTTAGATATGAAGTTATAGTTGACAGTTAAAATTATAAGGACTAAAAATAGTCAGGATATAAATGACTACATATCCTGACTATTTTTTATTCTTAAAGATCAGTATTGCTAAACCCACTTTCATCAAAAAATTGTTAAGGAAAAAGGAAAAAGTTGTAATATCAACAGACACATATTTAAACATGTAGGAAATTGACTTTATAAAAATTATTTGGTTTATTATAAACTTTTAATCCTGACCTATACAGTGGTATCGCTGCATCACGATCTGCCTCACAATGAAACAATTCCATGTGATGAACCAAGCCTTCATTTCCTTTAGTGACTACTGCCTCAAACTGAAAAGATAGATATCCATTCACATGCTAATATTAAATATGTATATTGAAATTGAAAAATGTTTGTTAAAATTGTTTTTACATATCGCTTCTGTTATTGCAAAAATTCATATATATTAATTGAATTTTTTTAAAGAAGAGACTGATTATTTCACAAAAACTGATTATTTCTTTATAGTTTATTTGTGTAATTTAGTATTTTATTTTCCATGACTATTTTCCATTGTAGCAGACTCCTTATTGCAATTGTAGACTACAAAATGTCACCTTCAGAACAAATAGAATAAACATGGAAAATTGCTATATGCGACTTTTTGCACTAACAGTAGTGATATAATTGGAGTATTGTACTTTAACACAGTCTAAAAAACAGTATACTCTATAAAAATCACTTACTTTGAAACTATTAATATACTGCATTTATCATTTGACAGGAAAGATCTTGACATGTTCTTGATATAATACAATAATAATATAAAAGTTAAAAAATAATGTGTGCTTCTGAATTTGTTATTGTCCTTTTTCCATTAAAGCTTATAATGTTTGTCCTTTAGTTGTTTTTTGCCTACCACTGTCTAACACTTTAAAATTTATGAAAATGGCACTGTCAAGCCATTGAAATCTATTGATAGGAAACTGTTTCAGGACGGAGGTTTTGCTAATTTATTCAATTTTTTTATAGCTAGAAAGTAGAACTTTATATCACTTTCTCAAACAGGGCTATAAAGATATTTATTAAAGTCATTATATAAATGTGAAATTAAGTATCAGTTAGGTCTTATCTCCATTGAAATAATTTGACATAGCTCAAATGCCAAATTTTGAAAACGACTTTCTCTAATATATATATTCAATTGTGTTTATTTAAAATAATTTTCATTTTAGTAGTAATACAAATATATAAATACAAATTGTAGAATTTGGTAATTAACTGAACGAGAAAAATATTTTTCAGCTTTCAAAACAAATTTTCAAAATAAGTCTCGTAATATTAAGCCGAAAATGTATACTGCACAGAATTGTCTTCCTGGGTATTACATATCAATATCTCATGCAATGTTCATTGGTGTTCACCACTAAAAAATATTTTGAAATGTATTTCTATTGGTCATCCTTTGTATTCTTGTCTCCAAATATAGTGAATTCTGTTAATTCTTTATTAGTTTTGTGTAGGTTTTGTTAGTATTTGTGTATTTGACCTGTTTTTGTGGTTATGGTTAATGAAATACTGTTGTAGCTTAGTTTAATACTTTTATTCCTTCATCTAAAACCCCACTGTGAAAATAATACGTTTTTGTAATTTATTTAATTGTTTTATTCTTGCAAAATTAATTTTTTTTTACTTCTAAAGTTTTTATTTTATTTATTTATAAGATATACATATTTCTGGCAGGATAGATTTGCTATCTGCTACTATATTAAGCAAATATGATATCAAGGAATTCATAATAAAGAAGAAAAGTCAGTGCTAAATCTGTCAATATTTGTTTGGCTGTATCTAGTTGTGAAAACATAGTACAAAATATCTCGTGTTATTTCTATTCTTAGAGTCCTAAATTACATTTTCAGAAGAATTTTTAAAATTTTATCATTGGAAAAGTAATGTTCGTATTATATTATTAAGAATGACTTAATTCAGCTTATATTTCAAGATTTATTAAGTATTACTTTATTGCAATTAATCAGTTTAACAAAATTCACTTTATAACTGCCATAATTAAATTTTCAGTAATTGTATTAATCAGTTAAGCTCTGAAGAAATTTAAATGATTAATATTAATACAGGAAATTGAGAGAAATGACTTGAGAAAAGAAGTTGCTTGAAGGAGAAAAATATTTTTTAAAACAATTCTGTGTAAGATTTATACAGATACAGCAGTTTTAGAAGCATTGTATCCTCTTTCTTCCACACCTGGATATCGACCTTTTAACAAATTTTAAGTTCTTTAGGGGAGGTTGTAACAGTCTAAAACTTGGTGGGACAAAAGTTAGCCTAATATTGAAAAAAACAAAAAACAATTAGATATATAGCAGGAATATGGATTCTGGAAAGAAGTAGCTAAAAAGGAGAAATATGAAGTGCTCAGATCAAAATGAATTTCCTACAGTTTGTCTAAAGATTTTTGATGTGAACAAAATACTTTTTGTAACAAGCAACAAACTCCAAAGCTCTTTAACTCAGTGACAAGAAACATTATCATCGAAAACATTTCAGATTTCTTGCTCAAAATAATTAATAATTTTAATCTAATTATAATATTAAAATTTAAATATTATTTTAATAATGAATACGTTAAGAAAAATGTAGCTGTTAAACATTTATTCATTTCTTAAAAAGTAATTGTAATACACCATTAGAATCATTTCTTACTTTTCAATCATAATCATAATTCATATTTGGTCTTGAGCATCAATTTTTAATGCACAAAAGAACATTAATAATTACGTTTAGACTTAATGTGATTATGAAGTTTTGATAGGTTGTTTAAAAATAAAACTACAATTACTTTCATAATAAAATAATTATTGCAACAATTTGTAACAAAAATATGTGTAAAATGCTAAATATTAGAGATCTAAGATAATATTTTGTTAATTTACAATATTTTTAAATATTTACAATATATATATACAATTTTTTCCTAGAAGTATAATATTAGGGTTGTATACATTAACATAAAATAGACGATAATTAATAAATAAATAGTCTGATTCTTTTTTTTAAAAACAGTTTTAACTGGTTTACACCTTTTAATAAAAAATTATAATTTTTTACAGTTTGTAAAGTCCAATGTTTCCATGACTATACCAGGTTAAAATATGTTTGTATACAAACAAATATTAAACTACAAGAGTATTTGGGTCATCATAGATTACAGTATTTGGTATATGCAAAAAATCTTCAAAATAATTATTGTAATTACAACGTAACAGGATATTCCACAGTTTATTATTGGCATCAAAGGATGAAGTTTCAATAATACTGTTAAAGAAAGAAATTAGTTGTTCCTGAAACTGAGAATCTAACTTTTCAATAGTTTCGGTATAAACAGCATGATTTTCGAGATCAAGAATTGACCCCAAAGATATAACAAAGTCACAAAATTCTTGGCAAGTACAAATTAAATTTTGGAAAAGAATAATTAGATCTGGTGCAGTCAGGAGGCAATCATACATACATTTTTTTAAAAATGTCCAATGCACATCATATAGGGAATCGATGCTTTCTACTGTTTCAACTGCTTGAATAAATTCATTCCAATTAGGTAAAATTGCTTCTTCCATCATATAAAGAACCATTGATCGAATGAAGTACATCATCTTATGACGAAGTGCAAATGCTTTTGAAAAGCATGTTGTTTGTGAAAATGGCAGCCCTCTCACAGATTTATCCATCTGCCATACCCTAAAGAGCAACCTCTCAATGTATTTACAGTAGAATAAATGTCTAAAAATTAACTGATAAGAAGATATCACAGTTACATTGAAGACTAATGTTACAGGCCATGTAGAGTTGACTGAAAGAGCAAAAGCCTGTAAACCAGTGAGCGTGCTCTCAGAATATTGCTTTAAATATTCCACATATTCTGGCTTTTTATGCAACTTAAGAACCTGGTGCATCAAGTGATTAGGCCTCAAATTCATAATAATATCGTCTCTAAACTCATCATCTAATGTAGATGGCAATCGAACAGCCATATCAACAAGAGCTGCTAACCGAGTTGGAATCAGATTAGCAACTGGTTGATTCAATTCCTCTTCACAGCTGTCAAATAATTGGACAACAAAATCTTCTTGCTGCAATAGCAAATAACGCTTTACTGATTTAATTCTTTCAATGATAGAATATTCATCAACCATCAGTGATAAAAGGTATTTACTTGAATGAGAATAAGCCCTCCTGATAGCATCTAAAAATTCAGTACCTTTGTAGGTGTATTTCAGGTCTTCTTCAGCAGCACGCTTAACATTCCAATCTGCATCTAAGCAATCCTTTATCACATTCAAATATTTTCCAGCATTCAAAATTGTTGTCTCAACTAGTTTTAAAAATGATGGAGTACAAGATTTCCTAATTTGATATCTTTTAATCCAATATTCATCTGGATATCTCTTTTTTGAAAGTTGGACCTTGGGATTGCCAACAATCATAAATTCATCAAAGGGGTCATAAATATCTCCATTAAATATCCATTTTTGCACAGATACCATAAACGGTGCAGCTGCTTGTTCAACTAGGAAGACACATATTTCATGTTCTTTAGTCATATCCATTAATGATGAGGTGTAGTCTAGAAGGTAATTCAAAGTATCTGCACCCCTCAATCTATTAACTGCAATATGTTTTGCTAAATGAGATAATATTTGTAGAGGATGATTAACAGGTTGAATTGAAAACCAAAGGTTATGCAAATTTATTAACGATTTATTATGCATTTTTTCTAGTTCGAGAATAAACAGCTTGTAGCTACGAATTACATTATTCATGGCTGCAGCTAAAGCTTGGTTTACTCTACCAACTGAAAGCTTTTTATTTTCTTGAATAAATCTCATTACCATGGAGAAATCTGATGCCATCACTAAACATTTTTTGGCAAGCTCCGCTAACTTTAAATCAATTCTATTGTTAATAGTGAATGTTCGAACTGCCCAAAGTTCTTCCAGGGGTTCAGGTACAATGAACTGCCCACTAACTCCAAGAAAACAAGAGAGTAAATCTTCAATCAATGGAACTTCTTGAGAAATCGATGGTCCTGGTTCTACACTCGGTTCCATTGTAGGAACTATAAAGTCCAGATTCATCTTGGGCCTAAGTTCTGGCCAATCAATGATTTCAACAACTTGAGGTGTCAAGAAATTGCCCAAACTTGCTTTCTTTTCAAGGCATTCCTCAACAGCTCTATATAGTCTGTCTCTGACTTGAGGCACTTCTTCATTTGTTACCGAGCTTCTCGATACAGAAGCCATTTTAGTTTAAAGGAAATCACTTTAATACATGAACGACTGGCCGCCTATCTTTCTCTTAGTTGTTTACCTCACTAACTGTTGCAGTAACCTTCAAGATAAAGCTGAACGCACGCGCGCAGACCAGAGAGGTCAGAAAATCGAAGCTTTAATTCTACAGCTTTATTAAAGAGGCGTGGTCAACAATTTTTATCGTCTTTCCACAGCCGTAACTATTTTAGAATTTATACATTTTAAACGTATAAATTGTTAAACATTCAATTTTACCTTTATTATTATTTTTATTTTATGGTATAGATAGGCGAGGCTATGATAAAAGTTAAATGGCTATATAAACAAGTTGCTTTTTTATTAGAAAGTTTAATAGCAATGTATCACTATTTTGCATGTATAAGTAAAGGAGTAAAGTTTAATAATTTTCAAAGACGCAGATATGATATGATTACACGATTTCCGAATTAAGGCATATAAGTGTTTTTATTTTATTTTACTTTAATAGTGGTTAATATATTTCATTTTAATCTTACTATAGCAGCTATATATTGCCCTCCCGGCAAGAATTTATCAATCCAAACATTTGACCAGTTGTTACATTCTTTGGGTAACAAATTTTTGTGTGGCGGTGATTACAACGCTAAGAATCAGGTATGGGGCAGCAGAATCAGTAACTCTAGGGGCAGAGCCCTTCAAAATGCGATTCTTGCTCAGAATTGTAAATGCTTATCCCCCTCTTCACCGACATATTGGCCCAGGGATGCTAACCGGATTCCTGACGTTTTGGATTTTTTCATTGCCAAGGGAATAAACGTACAGCATTATGCTATTACTAATCTGACTGACCTATCTTCAGATCACTCCCCTCTTCTTCTAATGGTAGACTCAAAACCTATAACCAAATCTCCCCGACCGTCGCTAACACCTGGAAAAATTGACTGGAACAAGTTCAGATCATATATTGAAAATTCATTATCACTGAACACTAATATAAGAACACCTGAAGACTTGGACGACGCAGTTCATCACCTCACACAAACAATACAAAATTCAGCATGGACTTCTGACATCTCAAGCAAAAAGACAGACAAACATGACCATAATTACATTTCACCTGAGATAAAATATCTTATCGTACAAAAACGAAAAGCTCGTAAAATATGGCAAAGAACTCGTTACCCATCTGACAAACACAAGTTCAACAAACTAACTCGACAACTTCACGATGAAATAAGACGTTCAAAGACAGAAAATTTTGACAAATTCTTGAATGGTTTAGCAAATTGTGAGGAACCACTTTGGAATATAACCAAACGCATTCTACAGCATCATGACGTCTCACATCCTCTCAGACATGATGATGGTTACTGGGCAAAGTCAGATGCTCAAAAAGCGCAATTGTTTGCTCGCCACCTCGAAGAAACATTTAAACCTCATAATGACATACATACTCTCTACTACAATTGTCCAAAGTCACCTTAACGTACCCTTACCTGACATTACCACCAAAATCAATTCATCCTTACGAAGTTCAAAATTTAATTCAGAGCTTGCCTATGAACAAGGCTCCGGGATTTGACTTAATTACGAATTTCGTCATAAAAAATTTACCTTGGAAAGCAATTCTTTTTCTAACAAATATTTACAATTCTATTTTGAGAATCACACATTTCCCCACTCTCTGGAAATATTCTGAAGTTGTCATGGTCTTAAAACCTAATAAATCTTCAGACTCCCCAAATTCCTATCGTCCGATTAGTCTTCTTCCTTCTTTTTCTAAATTGTTTGAAAAAATTATTCTTCGTCGCCTTGATTCTCTCGATATATTTAAATTTATTCCAAATCATCAATTCGGCTTCAGAAAGCATCATTCAACTGTTCAACAATGCCATCGATTGGTAGATTATATTTCTAATTCTTTAGAATCTAAAAATTATTGCCCTGGAGTTTTTCTTGACATTAGTCAAGCCTTTGATAAAGTTTGGCATGAAGAATTGCTCTCCAAACTTAAAATTTTATTTCCTCCGACCTACTATCTAATATTACTTTCATATTTAACGGATAGACATTTTGTAGTAAAAGTAGGGACAGAACGTTCTGACATCAAACCTATTAAAGCAGGAGTGCCTCAGGGTAGTGTCCTTGGACCAATATTGTTTAATATATATATGTCTGACCTACCGGAACACAACGACACAATACTGGCTACTTTTGCAGACGATACCGCAGTACTAAGCTCAGATAAAAATCCTGTTCGAGCATCTACCATCCTTCAAAATCATCTGAACGATATTGCAGACTGGGCAACAAGGTAGAAAATTAAGATGAATGAAAAAAAAAGTGTGCATGTGGTATTCACTCTTAACCATAAACCTTCCCCTGAAATATATTTTAATAACATTCAAATCCCAACATCAGATGTAATTAGGTATTTAGGTTTTTACTTGGACAAAATACTTACTTGGAAGACTCACATCAGACAAAAACGAATAGAATTAAACAGACGATACGGTCTCTTATCCAGATTACTTGACAGACGTTCAAAATTATCTTTAACTAACAAACTAACCCTTTATAATGTCTTACTTAAACCTGTTTGGACTTACGGCATAGAACTGTGGGGCTCTGCTAAAACTTCCAACATTAAAAAAGTTCAGTCCTTTCAGTCAAAAGTGTTGCGAAGGATAGTTGACGCACCTTTTTATGTCGCAAATGACACACTACATAAAGACTTAAACGTACCTACAATTTTAGATACTGCAAAAGAGAACTATAATAACTTTCACCAAAGACTGACGTACAACATGAATCCTCTGACAGAAATCCTTCATCGTACAAGAAACCCGTACAGCCCACCACGAAGATTACGTAGGCGTTGGCCAAGAGACCTGCTGATTTAATTTATATCCCGGACGCGATGGGAAGCTGTGAAGCTGCTAAAAAATTTGCTTATTCCAAAGAAATTTGCAGATTGTAAATTTAATCTAATGTTCCACATTTTGTTTGGTTAATAAATAAATAAATAAAATTTAAAAATAATACTCTGTGTGTTATTGTCTGTTCTATCGGCTTATCTCAAATTGCTCAGTAATACATTTAATTTTAATCAAAGTTATCTTTTAATTTAATATACGTACGATTCTAATTAAGGATTTTAGATTTCGATTGACATTCAACGCTCAAATTTGCGAAAGCGACTTTTGTCAATGGAAGAAAAAGTATTTCGATTCTGAAGTATTATGATGAAATGTATGAAAGAGATGACTGGTAGATTTTATTGTTTGCAGTACATTCAACTATGTCACTATTGGTGTACTATCGCCTTGTCAACAGGTCGAGCGATACCAAGAGTGTCTGTATTATCGTTCCTAAATATGTTTTTCCCTTTTTATTGTAACGATATAAAATATTTGAAAAAAGCCTAACAATTTTAAAATTAGATTGATAAAAAAATGAAACAAACTTCATAAAAGAGGTCCAATGTAGGTAGGTACCATTTTTTTTACCAAGTTAAGAAACCATTGATTGTAATTTAATGAAGGAATTTCTAATCTAAAACTGATCAAACTGGACATTGAAATTCATTTCAATATCCAAAACGATGTTTTCCGCAACATCTGATAGATCAGAAGGGTGTCTAGTGAGACTCGTGGACAAATCGGAACGAAAGTTATCAAAAATTTTATGATAATAACCTCAAATCTTGTATAAAAAACGTTCCGACTAGTCTAAGTATTTTAAATATGGATTTGTTTTAATGGATTAAAGTTTGGAGAAATATCAAAGTTGGAATAAATCTATTGTATGGCTAGATTGATATGCTATTTGCATTTTCTAATTCCGAAGATTCTAAGAGCTGATTGTCCTGTGAAAATATATTACTAAAGACCACCTAAGAGTTAGAGGGAATCTATTAGAAGTTCGATGCAGAAAGTGAATGTTTACTAACCTGCACTAAATGGTGCTTATTGATTAGCTGTTGAGGGAGTTTGGTGACTTTGCAATAGTACGTCGTGTCGCTGCTAGGTACAGATACCCCTCCGGCGGTGACTGTCAAGTGCCAAGACTCCTCTCCGGGAATGAATCCTTGGCTAGGCGGTTTCAAAAGCTCTGTCCTAGTAAAGCCTCCTTCCAGTGAACACAAATTCCTTCCATCTATCCGTCCTTCGCCCACGGTCCATACAATGTGTGTTGTTCCACGCTGCAACAAAAGAACCATATAGATAAGTTATTTTTTTAATATTTCGTAGAATTGCTTTATATTAACAACCGTCCATTTTCGCTATTCGCTCCTAGGTCGGAAAAAAAAATATGACTAAGCTCACAACTGCTGATAGAGAAATCCGGTTTCTTGCTCGAACTTACTGATCTTTCTTGAAACATTTTGGTCATCATTCCTACTACAGGATTTATCACCTGAATACTGCCAGGTACTCATTTTACTAATATGTTGAGCCAGGAAGTGGATGTCAATTCACGTTAAATATAATCACGACCTTAAATTGAAAAAACTTGCCTATTTTATTTCTCAAGAAAATAGAGAACAATTTAATATTTACTTTGTGAAAGACATGTTCTTATTGTTGACTTCATTATAATTATTACTAATTTGTAGTAATGTAATGAATAAAGAAAGGACGGATTAGGGCATTAGTCCTACCTCAATAATGTAATCTTGGGGCTCACAGGTATCGAACTTTCTGTAAAACGAGAATCTGCTGGTATTGGAAGAAGTCCTGGTGTGCCTCAGTCCTTGGCAATCTTGTGACTGGTCTATGGTAAGCAAACATTTGTCATCTGTCCAAGCGTCCTGTAAAATAATAAAATTCAATCAGTTCCTAAATTAAAAATGTCTTTCCTTGCCAATGGTAAAGTATGCAAGGGGTATAGCGATTAGGTATTATAGCAGTTGGTAATAGTTGAATTTGATTATTATATAGAGATATTGATCGCCATTCTCACCAAGATCCTGGCTCTGCCTGTTTTGTCTGATACAAAAATGCACCAATCAGCGTTGGTCCTTTCCCCACGGTCAGAGAATCCGACTCCGAACCAGTTGTTATTGGAGATGCTGGCTTGTACTTCAATCTGAACAAAAAACATAACAGCTGCAGCTAAAAACTAATAATTCAAACTTAAAACAAAAATGTTTAGTTTCAATCTTTGCAGGACTCAGCCAAAAATAGGAAGATGGTAGAAACTTTTTTAAGATTCGATTATCTCCATACGCATGTTGGAGAATTATTTTTGGTATAGTGGTTGTCATTAAAAGTATGCTTTGCACAAATGGGGATATTAACACCAAATATCTTTTTATCTTCTCCACATTGGATTGTATTTGAAAGAAGTTTAAAGAGGACGAGATTATTTATGTCAAGAATAAAAATTATATTATAACTGCACGGAAACGAATGGCCGGAGTAGCCAATATTAGTTGGCATAGGGTAAAAAAAAATAAAGTAAAAAAAAAAGTTAATAAATTTCAACGATCAACATAGGCCGTATTGAAAAGGTGTATAGTGTGAGTTGAAAATCAATTATTCGGCATTTCACTAAATTGGAAGAAGTCTATAAATATTAAAAAATGAGCTATGGGATTAGTGATTTTTTATTTTTACCAGAAAAGGGTAATCTCTTTAATAGAAATCGTGGCTTTGGCTTGAAAAAATTCTAACTCCATTTACTATAATTTTGAGAAACATAACTTCAATGTAACAATTTACTGTAGTAAGAATATTTGTTTAGTTAGACTAACATTTTTGTTTGTGCAATACCTTGAAGCTGTGGACTTGATTTCTTATTCGTCAATGAATTAATAGTACCACTTATCTGTACACATAATTAGTATAATAAAGAAATTAATTAATTAAGAAAGTATAATTATTCATACTGCTAGTTTCTTAATTTTACAACTGATGGCACTCAAATTCATTTGGAACATAGATTTGTTTTGAGTGATTTCTGAGTGAAAACTCAATTTGCGCAAATTTGTTAGTTAGAACCTTTTCAAATCAAGGCCGTGAAGTATCGAAGTTGACAAAGGAATATGAGAAATAAAACGCGACGTTTTATTGATAAAACAAAACAATAAAATTAGTATTTTATGAATCTAGTGATATAATTACAATATCTTGGATTTTCCTGCATAATACTAAAAACCTGTGATGTGTGGTTTAGTTTTTGAAACAGAATAAATAATTTATCTGCCATCATCCGGATTCGAACCTGGGACCTTGAGCTGGGGAAGTCAGCGCACTACCACTGAGCTTCCTCACTCCCATATTCATACACATACGCACACCCATATATACCCATATTGTGTATATACATACATATATATATATATATATATATATATATATATATATATATATATATATATATTTGGTTATTTATAATTATTGAAGATTATATTAAGAAGTTTGCAATTTCATCGGTTACTCTGGAATTCAAAATTACTTGAGCTATAATCAAGAAGAAACCATTTTTATTTTCTAATTTTAACTTTTCTTCAAAGAGTTGAAAGCTAAAGGATTCTTTTCGAGAGAAAGAAAAAAACTTGGAGTAATTTAATTCTAAAATATCGAAAAACTTTCTTTGAAAACACTCGGCCGCTGTCACTGGTGTAAATTAAACAGTTGTTATTCCAACTAGTACTATAAAATTCCTTAATCTCTTATATTTTTAAATTGGTTTACTGCCTTTTACATATCAGCATATATTTTTTTATATTTTAGTTTATTTCAATATATCCTGCCGTCGGATAATTCTTGTAAACGTTAGATGATTGGAATATGTTTTAATTTATTTTATGTGTTTAATAATTGATTTCAATTCAATCTGAAAACCTCGACGGTCGTATTTTTTTTTTTTTTTTTTTTTTTGGCATAACTTTATGTCTTTACGTTGTATATTTCCTTAAGTTAATTTAACCAATTGGATATGTAGGTAAGAGACTCGACCCAAAACTATTAAGCCAGCTTTAGACATTTCACAAACTATGGGAAAACAAATATATAAATGGTTATTTCACCATGCTTGTATTTTTATTTCTCGTTTTTGATGTTTTCTATCTGCTGTCGGTATGAAGAGAAATAAAATAAATAGTTTGGTTTAGCAACAATGTCGCTGTTAATGAAGTTAGATAATTGTGTTTTCTATAGTTTGTGGAATGTCTAACGCACCTTTATATTCTTGATCATTAAATCCTCGATGGACGGAATATAAATAATAATATTGGGCGCAACTAATCTGTGAGTATCAAATTTAAATTCCTGTTGAGAATTGAGGTAAAATTAATAAACTCTCACCTTAAAAATGGTTGTATTCGTGTTTTAAAATGACCTTTTTTTTACACAATAATATAAATAATTATCTTTAAAAAGAAAAATTCGCCTTTGTTTAAGATGTAGCTTAGAGAATGTAATGAATGCTCTTTCTTTGGACTTGTCATAGACACTATTCGTTTGTTTCGATGTCTAGGCGCAAAACATCTAGGTCATAAGCGCCCGATTAACTAAATAACACCACTTAATACTATTTGGATGGTTGGTACAAAGAATAAAAATAAAAAAAGGCTAAACAAAAATAAAGAAATGGATTGATAAAATAAAATAAATAAATAATGATAATAATAGACATTTATAGATAATAAGATAGGATATATAAATAAACTTTTAACAAATAGCAGTAAAATCAATAAATGAATTGGGATTAATAAACAAAGGAATTTGAAATGAAATGAACAAATGAAAAAAATAAATAAAAAAATATATATAAAAAAAAAAATAAATTATTATTGACACTATTCGTTGATCAGACCTTCCAGATATTCTCGCTTTCTACCAGGTCTTCAAGTGTTCCCAGTATCATCATTTAATGTAAAAAAAATCTTACTCCGCGCTACAGTCAATGGGTCACCGATTTTAGCCAAATATTTTTCGGCGAACAATATTATAGAAAAATATTATACACATGTTCCGTCGTTCGTTCCAATGGGCTCTACGAGCCGAGAAAAAAAATTATATAATTTCTTACAAAATTTATGTTATTTATATTTGCCTTTGCTTTACCTGCATTTGCAAATTATCACATATCAATACATTTCTTTCTTTTTTTTGTAAAGAAAAAATATTGGTTGTTGTATTAAATAAGTTATAATGTATCATAAATCACAAAAAAACAAAAGGCTCTCTCTTCCAGTAATGTAAGATTTTTGTCATGAAAAATAAAGTTACATTAATTTTTAGTGTTCTTTAAGGCTCAAAAATAGGATTTTTTGCAAATATCAAAAATTGCAAATTTTGTACTTAATTTTTTAGTAGGATTTCATTTTTCGGCTCTTAATTAAAGCATTAATAATTCTTCAAATTAAACGGTAGTAAAACCTATGGAAAGCTGAATTACCAACGATATAAAATAACAATGTTTGGAAAGTTATTTCTGAATTTCCAGTTTAAAATGGAATTAAATCCAAAACTTATTGATATGATTTCTAAGAGCTTTTAATCCTGCCTTCTAACGGTTGTTCTAAGGTTGGATTTGAAGAAAGTCCTGAGAAGTTATTAATGCTTAACCTAACGGCCGAAAAAACAATCCGACTAGAAAATCGAGTACTAAAATTTACAAAATTTTTGTAAAAATTCGTAATTATGAGTTTTAAATAACACTTAATACGAATGTGACTTTATTTTTCTTCACAAAAATTTGCATGCTGAAGGAAATTAGTCAACTGTTCTACATACCATGGGTGATTAATGGTCAGGACGCAGTCATTTTTAAGGTTTTTATTGGTGCGACATTTCAACCAAGCTTGTAGCCCACATCGTCTGCACCAATAAAACAAATATAATTTATTTTTCGCGTTATAATTTATTTATTATTATTAAAAAAAATAGGTTCTCAAAAAACCAGGAGTATCATCTCACAGATTAGGTGCACCCGACCAAATTTAACTTCCTAAACGAGTTTTAATGAAATACCTCGTTAGAAGGGGAAGATGAGTTTCACCCCAATGCGACATTGCTACTTTTTAGTTTTTGATATTTCTTTTATTATCATTATTTGATCAATATTTGATCGATAATCCAAATATTTATTAGTATCATGATATCTACCGATATGTTTCGTCCGTTTGCTCATGAAATCATTTCATACATGTTAGCGAATGTATCATACACATTTTAACCAATAAGCCTTCAATGTTTCGAGACGATATTGTTTCAAAACAATCACGGCAACTTGCTGAATAATTTGAGCCATCTAACTTGAAAATCAATCCAGTCAATAATAATAATATATCTAATCGATGATCTTTATATAATTAAAAAAATATATTAACTCATCATTCTAGAGACATCTCATGAGTTTTGAAACGCATTATAAATGTCCTTTACTACACAGTGGCTAGACTTATGAATGCAATGTGATAAAATAGGATTTTGCGTTATGCATTTCACATTTAAAGTTGAGATTGATTTCTAATGTAACTGCTGGATATGTTTATATTGTTATACAAAAAAATAGTATATGTTTTCATCACTGTAAACATTTGATCATACTAGTCAAAGAATAATTGCTTTCTCAAAGAAAAAAAAAATAAATAAGCGGAAACTTGTTGGAAAACGTACAAATTTGAAATGGAAAGGAATGAACTTCAAATCGTAATTTTTATAACACAATTTTTTTTTCTTAACTCCTTATGGTTTTGAGAACCGAGTGGTAGAACGAGGCTTAAACATGACCTCATTTACTGCACAGGGTGCATTTTAAGAGAGGGATGGGGAATTGGGAGTACTGTGGTTATTCATAGTTATGGTGTCTTAGTCTGGCGACGGGGCTCACTAGTATCCTGTAAATGTCTATTAATTTTCTCAGTCTAGTAATAGGTTTTTAATGTAAGTCCGCCATCTCATAGGTTTGTGAGTAAGTGTTTTAAAAAGTGGGTTTTGTCGAGTATTTGAGGCTATCAAAGAATTTTATATGCCTGCGTGTAATGAAGTCGCCCACCTTCGGTAATTCGAGGATGGTAGGTCTGCACGTGTTTTTTGTAAAGTCGTGTGTCACTATTTTTCTCAGCATACCTTCCT